AGTACGTGCAGACTTCTTCGAGGTTTGAGCGTTTATAAACTTCATCTTAGTCGTTGAGACAGCTTTGATGAACAATGGTATGCATTATCAAGTGTTTTCTCCCTGCTATGTCTGATTGTATGATCTTTAGGAATCCGATGCTTGCGGATTGACCAAAACTCAAAAGGCCAGAGCGCAGCCAAGAAGTTCAAAACTGACCCCGAGATCCTGGTGCTCTTGCTCCACGGGTACGTGTCTCTGCCTTGTGATGGCGGCGTTTGTCTCTTGACTTCTTTGATTCTAGGGAGAGGGAAAATGCAGGGCTGAACGTCACTTGCGCATCTCGGGTGTTCCTCCTAGAGAGTGTTGTCCACCACAGTTTTGAGATTCAAGGTATGAGACTGTGTTTTGTGGAGTATTGCTACTAACATTGGTGTTTCTTTAGCAATCGCTCGAATTGACAGAATGGGCCAGACCCGCGCAACTGAGGTGTACTGCTACTATGCAGAAGATACCGTGGAGAGAAACATTTTGGACCTGGCAGCGCGCCAAGGACTCTCGCTGTACACCAAGGCTAACTCAGCAGGGACCTTGGATGTCTCTTCGTTCGCCCATGAGAACGAAAAGACCAAGATCGACAACTCTCCTGTTAAGAAAGTGCAGAAGGGCGATTTCATCTTCAAGTGCGTATCTGTGTACCTTCACCTCGGCGTTAACTAATGCGATCAATAGAATTGACGACATGCTGGCAATTCTGTTCCCGCATATGTACGAGGAGCTCGATTATCTCATCCCACCGGAAGACATGGATTCAGAGATGCAAGATGTAACCATCTCAAGCACAAGCACGAGTTTCCCTGCTGCGGTTGGTAGATCATCGTACAATACAAGGCAGAACGCCGTCGCTGGTCCGTCTCGGTTGCGATATTGAACACTTCTACATCATTTCCATTTTACCACCAGTTCTCTTTTTGGTTTTGTGGCGGACTGTAAGCTAGATATTTATAACATACAAAGGACATTGTCTGTACGTACTTGCATCTGCTTTCCATCGCTATCGTCGCTATCAACCTGCTTGTAAGCCCCAATCCTATCACAATCAATGAAGCGGTCATTCGTCCGATCTCCCTGTTGCCGTCACCCTAGCTGCAGCCTCTCTCTTCTGTCGTCGGCGCTTGACATCCCAGTTGTACACGCGGGCAGTATTGACTTCCATGATCGTCAACTGCTCGCGCAGGAATTCGAGGTCTTCAATGGTGTTGTTCAGACTTATCTCTGCGCCGGAAAGTTTGGATTTTAGGAGGGCGACGGCTTCTGGAATTTTGTATGATAGCATGACGTTCGCCTGGTAGAGTCAGTCGCTGTATTAGCTTCTGGATTCGTGAAAAGGAGAGGATTTTACCCCTAGCCACAGGTAGACGGTATCCGTCTCTTCTATCTCTGCTTCAGCGAAAAGTGTGTCGTTGAGCTCAAATGTCGTCCGTATGGGTTTCGCGGACCCAGATTCATCCTCATCGTCTAGATCAGCTAAATCGTCGTCTTCCGAGGCCTTGCTCTTGCCTTCCTGCACAAAAGCACCGAGTCAATGCCATCGCCAAGCCCAAACCCGAATTTAAACTTACCCTCCTCTCTTGCAGATACTCGACCATATCCAAAGTCTTCTTTATATCAGGGATCTTTTCCTCTAAGCTGGAACGTCGTTGCCCGAGATTGGCGTCCATGTACCGGTATTTGCTGAGCTTCCATTAAGAGATTTATTTATTGGGGTCGGCTGTGGGGGGAGGAACGCGTACGCTATGGCATCTTGGAAACTTTTGAGAGTCCCTTCGACTTCGGCGTTGGATCCTCCTACGTATTCTTCGACGTCTGCCTGGTGGACGTGGGCTTTGATCAGTGGTGTTTCTATTGAGCTGAACGCTGGAGAGGGCGTACGATGAAAGGTGCTTTTGGGATTCCTCGTGGGTTCTTCTCCTCTGAGAATACAGCTTTTGCTTTGGTCGCCATCGTAGAGAACGTTGAGAACGTCGAGCCTCGAGGACGCAAAAAGACGCGATAGTATGGCAGCTTGTGGTGGTCGGAGATAGCCGACGGACTTTGATTTTTCGATATAAAATCAACGATTTTTT